TGTTCAGTAAGTCAGGAAACGGGTTTCTATTGTTCTCATTGTTACAAACAATGAGAACAATAGAAACCCGTTTCCTGACTTATTGAACACCCTGTATATAATTGTTCTGTATTTTGGGTAGGTTGACAGCATAGAGTACTTTATCAAATTCTGTTGTTTGTAGGTATTAGAGCAGTAAAATCATGTACCTAGTCCGGGAGTAGGTATTCTAGTGTCCTATTTGCCTTTTAACATAAATGCACAAAGAGAGTTATTCTGAAAGTATACATAACGATGAAGATATGAATACTTGGGATATCGTATTTTCAATAATAATATGATATATAATATTAAAAAAATTATTATTATTATTTGAAAACGTTATCCTATAGACCTATGTTTTGTGTTAACAAACGGTAGGATAGCTAAAAAGGTATGACCCTCGATGACCATGTCTTTAGTTCTATCCACAGACGACGTATTTGAAATAGTCTTTTTTCCCTACCGATCGTGGGAATTAACCCCCCAGGGTACCATGGATTAATACATTTCTTGAAAAATTTTATTGAATTATGTATTATTCAGTCTAGACATATAATACTTTTCTTCTCACGTGTTAAAGCATTTTGTTTAGTAAAACTAGTAAATCCAATAATAATAATAATGGCTATGTGTGTGTTTGCGTGTGTATGTGTATACTCATCTTATTCTTGCTAAATCATATAAAAACGCAGCGTTCTATGGTTTTTGTATCATTCAGTTGGTTCACGATTTAGGCGTTTTATAACTACTACATTTCTTTACAACAACACGAAAAAGATATTAAGAATAACATCATCATGACTAGCGTAAGTGTTAATTTTATTAACTTATTAAAAAATATATGATAAAAAAATTATTAATATTATTTTTTTAGAATTCACCAGAATACGGTGGCAAGGAGTTTTTTTAATATTTTAAATAATATTAGATATGAACCTCGTGAAAACAACTCCCCAATTTACCGAGATGTTTTCGGTAACTTAATGGTTAACCCAGACAACGAATTAGGAATTCAACTGTCGTTTAATGAATACGGTGCAATAGTGAGTATTATTAAAAAAAATGTATAAAATTAATGTAATAAATTAAATATTTAAAATTAATTATAGACACAGAACTCAAATGATTCAATCTATTTCTTCGATTCAATCACGAATCATAGACCAATAATTGGATCACGTGATATGGTAAGTAATGATGACGATGAACATATCACCTCCTCGAGTTCGGATATATTCCCTGAGCTTATACAGGGGGAGATAATAAACGAACCGGTTTTTTCTGATATAGGTAAGTTAATTAAATATAATGATAAATTAATAAAATTTTGTGTTAAACTAAATATTTGCTTTATTACTATTGTAGTTTCGGTTAGGGAGATTAATCTGTGTAATCACACCGATTCTCTCGTAGACCATGCACCACCACCACCACCACCACACATTCATTCGTTGTCGGAATTAGATGATGAACCGATTCAGAACCCACTCGACTCAGAACATCTCCCCTGAACTTGTTCACAATGATATGATAAATGGTAAGGTACTTAAATATATGAAACAATTATGTTGTAACGTCACAAATTCGAAGGTGGACCGTTTATGATTTTTTGTTATGTCTACTTATTTATTTTATAGCGCGAAAGAACCTTTTTCTGACACAGCGGTGTCAACCACTCATTATTTTACCACTGACCGCTAGATAAGGCGATAAAAGAGAAATATAATTAAAATCGAATTGTTTATCGTATTGATCCCTTCCAAAAAGACTGGCCGTTATCGTTTTGAAATTGCCGTTAGATCGGTGTTGACTCTTCTCTATTCCTTCTTCTGTCATTGACCGTGCTAAGGTGCACACGTTTATTTCTTTATTGACACTTTTTTTTTACAATGATGGAGTAGAACCGCCAACGGCGAACGGCCAGGTCTTTTCGACGAAGCATCCAGACCATCGGATGGGTCTCTTCGGAGACCGGGTATCGTTTTCTTTTTTATATTATATTTATGTAATGAGCTATAATTTATTAATTATTTTATTTCATTTTATTTTATTGTAAATTAACTTAATTTTGTTTATGTGTGGAGAGCACGTGTTTCCCTTTTCTTCTAGCCAACGCTAAGGAGCGAGTGTCCAGACCGCTCCTGGTGTTCTTCATTAATTTCCTGTTAACATTAACGGATGTGTTCCAATACCGTCCGTGATATTTGTAATATTATTTGTTTAAATATTTTATTTTATTTGTATTGCCTTTATTTGTAGACATGGTTTTTGATGCATTTGCATTTTTGTCCATGTTTAACTTAATTTTATTTTTTTAACAATTAAATTAAATTTCCTTATTAATTTCAACTGTAATATTTATTTTATTGCGCGAGTAACTTAATTACTCGCGTGTATTTCATTCCTATTCCTTAATCTAGACACGGGCTACGGTATGTTTTACATATCAACCACATACAACTTTGATTGTCTTAATTGTGTTCTATAAACCACGAGGCATTATAGTAATTTATACATATAACGACATATTAACTTAGATTATACTTTTAATTTACTTAAAATTAAATTCCACCTATGATCCGGTAATCATATCTGATAGGCGTGACACCTCGCCTAGGTGGTGGCGACCCTTGCTACTCTAGCTAGTCGTTATGCAAGTGGCAAACCACGTTGTTGTTACAGGCCAATATATAAAAAGCCCGCTTGCAGAATGGCGACCCTAGCCAGGATAATTACTTGCCATGTCTTTACTTACTTTTTCTCACAATAAACCTTTTCATTTAACGTAAAAATAATTTAATTAGTACGTTATTTGATTTATGGTTTGGGGGGTACAAACATGACACCAGGACATTGGACACATGCCTTGGAAATGTTTTATTCTCTTATCGTAGTTACAATAATTGTACTAATTTTATTTATTATACTCAATTTTTATTTTTACGTCGTTATATTATAAATATATACTGTCTTATTAAATTTTCATTACGAGCTCATAACATAAGTGTACGATTTTGGTCCTTAGGACATGTTATTTGCCTCGCCTTTGTTTTTAGATTGAAGTTTGTAGCCGTACGGTCCTTTTTGTGTATTTGTATGTATTATTTTTTTGTGGTGGTGGTTCGAGTGACCTTGTAGCTGTCAGCGAGTTTTTTTCCGAGTCACATGGGTTATGCGTTACGCCGCTGGATTTAATCATTACTACAATGCATGGAAGATGCCTGTATTATGTGTCCACATCGAAGACCTCATTGAAGTCTTAGATTTTAAGAATTAGATTGAGATATTAATTTAAGATATATATATATATATATATATATTTAAATCTATATTATTCTCTCATAGGGCATGTTCCCTTTGCAGGATTTTTTTTTATATTTTCCCCAAAATCTCTCCTAGGTCAGTCATATTTTACTATGATAAGTCATATGAATTATTTTCATATGCAATTTTTTTTAAAAACAAAGTTGTGCTTTTCTTAACTTCACTTGAATTCTTACTTTATTTCATGTTATTATACGGTTTAGTGCGAAGTCCATTCCGGCTTGCCGTTATAATTTAACTTAACTTGATTATTTTGTTTTACTTTTTGTTAGTGTGCGGTTTAGTGCGATGTCTATTCCGGCTTACCGTTATCACTTAACCTATATTTTAGTTATGACTGCTTGGTATAGTGCGACGTCTATTCCGGCTTACCACAGTTTTTTAACTTAAATTAATCGTTATCGATTTATTATATATTGTAATGTAAACTATTAACTTAATCTGTACAGCAAATATGAGTTTGTTTTATATTTCACTGTTCGGACAGTTTAACTTATATTTTATTCAAGTACATTAGCATTTTAATTTTAAGCACAATCTTTTCTCTTGACCAACAAATTAAAGTCATCTATGTAAAATTATGCTGAGTAATTATCCAACAGTCTGTCGACTTATTTCAGTTTAATTTTGTTTTTTTTTTCAATCGTCATTTGATTTGACATGACTAGTCTTGATTTAATTTCTTAGTCACTTTTGAACAAGTAATGAACTGACCTATTTTTAATTTTATTATTTTATTTTGCTCATTTAACTTAATGTTAAATTTTATAAAATCAATATTCTTGCATTATGTATAAGCTCATACATAAACTGATTTTAATATTATAACGATACCCCTATGCTTCAGTCGTTGGACTAGCCAAGCCAATATAATTTTGTTGTTTTAGACTTATATACTTTTTTGTATTTTTCTTTGGTGAAAAATTTGAACATTTGAATTTTATCAGGGGTTCAACTCAAATTTTTTTTACAAAAAAAAAAAATAAAATATTTACAAGCTTAAATTTCCAGCTTGAAAGCTGACAACATTTTGCCGGATAAATCCGAAGACTTTATTTAATCACATCGTTGTGATCACATTATTTTTACCGACAGCATTATTTTGCCAGTATTCATACTGGCATTTTATTTTATGTTATACTCATAGTGCGGTATATGAGGTAAAATTAACTTAAATTTCAAGTTCAATCAGATTATCTGATATTAATTAACTTACCAATATTAACGTCGGGATTTCACTTTATATTAATTTTATTTTTAAGTTCATTGAAAATTGTAATCATATTGAAGCTTACATAATTTTATTATTCAGCTGAATTTGATTGTTTTTTGTTATTGACATAATATTTTTTATTAATATTTAAACCGTCCGTAGTATTTTTCTATTTGCTACTAGTGCGATTAGTAGTTTAACTTACCTTAATTATTTTATTGTTTAACAGTACAATTAATTATTTTAATATCTAATCCGTTTGTGTGACAAACATTAACATACACGTCTGCCGAAAACCGGATTTCATTTTTATTGTTGTCTTGAGTTTTTTTTTGTCTTGTTGTTATAATTGATATTTGACAAAATTTCACGTCTTAGTGTTAAATTTTGTTATAAATTTCATTTTTTACTTAAGCAGTCAAGCTATTGTGTTTGATTTTTTTTTGTAATTTTGTTTAAAGTGTTTACACTAAAATTCTGTTTGTTTTTCGATCTCATAGTGAGGATTAATCAAATTATTCATAATTTGACCTAACTAAATGCATCTGTTGTTTGTTTTTATTTTTTTCTTTATAAAATTTTCTTATTTTATTTTTTGACGGTTCGTTAAGTCTTACTGTTGATAATCGCTTATCTGTCATTCTACATTTTTCTTTTGATCTATGGCTGAAGGCGCTGGAAAAAGAAAAACCAAGTCACCTGATCGTTTTGGATTTGAAAGATCTAGTTTTAATATCGAGAAAATTTTATCTACAACACAGGATTTTTCATCAAGTTGTATCATGGCTGAAACAAAAGTACCATCTAATTCTGAACTTTATACATTCATATTAGACATGCGAAAAGATATTAATAATCTTAATAATTCTCAAAGTAAACTGTCAGAGCAAATGGATATTTTATTGAAAGGCATTAGTGAACTAAAATCCAAATGTGAAGAGAATAACCGTCTTATAAGCACTAAAATCGAGTCTGTTAGTTTTGAATGCGACAAGCGGTCAGTATCTACTGATAATCGATTTACTGGACTATATCAAGTTCTAGCTGATTCAAAGGACTCTTTTTCAAATATTGACACATGTATAGTAGAATTACAAAGTCATCAATCAGCATCCGATATTATTGTTACAGAATTACGTACCCGAAATGAAGAACTTACTAACAAAGATGAACACCTCTGTAATGAAATACAAGATATTCACAAATTATCCGTACTTGACGTTCAAAAACAACCATCGAATCCGACCGTTGCTTTTACAACAATTGATCCTGTACTAACATCTACGAAAGTTCAACCACCACTCGTTCCATGCACGCCTGACATCAGTCGGTTATCTATATCTATGTTACTTGAAAAATTTCATCGAGTTGTTCCCGAATTTACCGGTTTTATTAATGAAGTACATCCTGAATTATTTTTAAATGAAGTTGACATATATTTTTCTAGTATTCAAGCTACTGAACAGCAAAAAATTAGTTGTGTTCAACGTCGTCTTGTTAAAGTCGCTCGAGTTTGGTTTGACGCTTTATTACCACCTCCTTCTACTTATAATGAATTTAAAGATTTATTTCGTCGGCAATTTTGGTCTGAAACTATACAAAATCGCGTTCATGATGAAATTTTACAACCATATCGTTATACATCCAGCTCTGGCCTATCAACTCATGCCATGCAGTGGATTACAAAAGCTCGTTTTTTAACACCACCTATACCTGCTGAACGTTTAGTCCATGTCATATGTCAACATTACAATGATCATATTTGTACTGCTTTAATCGGTCGTAGTCCAAAAACTACATCTGAACTACTTTCTGTATTGTCTGAGATAGAAAACACACAATCGTTTCACTTGAATTCAAATAATACGAATGACTCTCATTCACCATCGTTGAACAATAATAGTCGTGAACGAAATCAAAATTCTCATAGTAATAATCGCAGAGGATATAATCAAAGAAACTATCAAAATCGAAACTTCAATAATCGTTCAAATCAACCAACTACATCTTTTTCGGGAAACGAAAGAGAGAACGACCAGTAATTTTGACGGCTAGTCGTTCTCTCCACCCCATCGTCGATACTATTTCCACTTCGAATGGGGATTCTTCTTTTTCTTCTATTTCCAATAATCAGTCTCCACAGATTGACATAAAATTATTTAATACAAACTATACAGTACTGTTAGATTCTGGTGCTACATGTTCTGCTATATCTGAAGAAGTTTTTATAACTCTTAGTCGTAAAGTTACCGACGCTAAATTATTACCTATATTACCCATTACTGGAGTTACCGTTTCAACAGCTGTTAATGGAAAGAACAAGAAGGTCCACAATCAAGTTTTATTGTCTTTTGCTATTAAAAATTATCTCTTTGATTGTATTTGTCTTGTTGTCCCCCAATTGTCTGTACCTATTATCTTCGGCGAAGATTTTTTGTGCAAAGATTCTGTTGTTTTAGATTATCATCATCATATAATTAAATTCATGTCATTGGACATTGAAATACCATTTAAATCTTCTGTTTCACTCAATAAGAATAAGTCTAATTTGTCTTCAATCAAATTACATGTTTTACCATCTTCTGTATATTTTTCTGAGTCTGAACAAATTGACTCTGCAATTCAGACAATGTCTCATTTTACACCATCTAATAAAAAGTCCACAGTTTCTATTTTCTCAATGTCATCATCAAATACACTTAGTAATGAAGAAATTCTCAAAGAAGTTGATTCTGTTCAAAATATAAATTCATCTCAACGTTTAAAATTATTTAACATACTGTGTAAATATCGTTATGTTTTTAATGACCGACCTGGTTTGAATATTTTATATACATGCAAATTTGATGTCATCAAAGACGAACCATTTAAAGTCAAACCATATCCAATACCCTTTTCACAACGTCCCGCCGTTGAGAAAGAACTCGAACGTATGTTGGAATGGGGGGTCATAGAACGAAGCTCATCACCGTATGCCAACCCTATTATCTGCGTAAAGAAACCAGATGGATCTGTTCGATTATGTTTGGATGCCCGTCGTATAAATAAACTTATCATACCAATGCGTGATTCATCACCACCGATTGAAGAAATACTCGCACGATTTATTGAAAAAAGTTTTTCTCTTCGATTGATTTCTCCTCAGGATATTGGCAAGTTGGACTTCATCCATCCGTTCACAAATATGTCTCCTTTGTATATAATGGACGAACGTATTCTTTCACTAGAGTCCCATTTGGTTTGAATATTTCAAATACCGCTTTTGGTAAAGCTTTAGAAGCTACGTTAGGATGTGGTTCTTTTGATACATTTGAAGGAAGTTCTAGTGACATTCAGTCATATGTGGACAATGTACTAGTCTCTACTGCTTCTTTTGAAGACCACCTGGAAAAATTGGCCGAACTTTTTAATAAAATACATGAATCTGGTATGACTTTAAAGTTATCAAAATGTAATTTTTTCAAAAACGAGATTAAGTTTTTAGGTCACATTATTACACCTCAGGGTATGACCATGGATAATTCTAAGTTAGAAGCTGTAAAAGACTACCCTATACCTCGTAATAAAA